TTTGGCCCAAATATTTGTTATAAAATATTTATAAAGTTGCGTCAAACAAACGCAATATTTATTTCATGTTCAGACTTGAACAAATATTTGATGGTATTGTTTTATCAAACAGTGCAAAAATAATTTGGTTTTGCAGCCACAGAATATCGTATATTTTCATGCAAGAAAAAAGCAATTTGGCAATTTGTTTTAATTTTAACTATTTTTATTAGGTTTAAAATTAAATTTTTATAATAAAAGTGTATAATATTAATATATAACACGATTGAAAAAACTTTGTTTGTCGAATCTGAACATAAAATATTTCATGTTAACAAACAGCAATGCGGATGATTTTCGTAAAACAAATTGATGGCAAATAAATATTTTCTCATTGTTTCATCAATGTGAACACCAAAAGTCAAATAATTTACGTCATTTTGGTAAAATAATTATTTGATCTTGCAAACCAAATGTAAGATCAAACAGCGTCAATGACAGCTGTTCTTTGTTTATTTTCTGAAAATGAGTGTTATCACCTCATACACAAATGTAAATAGTCGCTTATATGACTGGTTTTATTTTATTTTTTATAAAATATAAATCTGAGACAAAGTTGTGACATTTAATTGAAATTCAAGCAATTGCGTAAATTAATGATAATTATTATTTTTGTTGTTTGTTTTGTTATTTATTAGTTGGTAACAACATACTATATATAGTTATGCTACATAATATATGCAGTCTAGTCCAACGGTTCCCAAATTACAATTAAATAAGAGATACTGTTATCTCGGAGTATGAAGTTAGGCCACATTTCATAATTCAAGGACAAGCTTATCGCAGATTTAAGTTTGTCAAATTGTAAACAGAAGTGTTCTTGTTTGGAAGGACTAAAATAATATATTTCCGAAACAGAGGTGACACTTTATTCGTTTTCAATACGTTAATCCAGGTAATTTTAAATATACATATTCCATTCCGACGTGATACACAGATTTTAACTTGATTTTGTCGACCAATATTATTAAATTAACATCAGAAAATGCGTAAATAGTCAAAACCATGCAGTAAAATTCACAGTACTTTCGCAAAGAGTTCAAGTCATATATTATGCGGATAACGCATTCCGCAACAATATCGAAGAAGTTCAACTTTCTTATATTATTTTCCCGGAAAATTAGCTAACATACTCAGTTCACCCGTCTGCAATCGCAAAAAATTTTTGCAACATGACTCTTTAAGCACATGTCGACGATATTTGATGAAGAATCCTTTTCGTTACCTTAAAGAAAAATGAACGTGAAAGATCTCACGATCATAAAATTAAACATCATGTTAACATGTCAACAATGAAGTCATTCTATCTTCAAAAACAGGCAATTGAAACTTCTCTGAAATATTAATTATTCTCAATGTACGGGAATATTTTATAGAAATGACATATCTACATCTGTTTGACCTTGGGATTTATGGACAATGACAATTGAAATGTAATTTCAATACCTTGTGCAAGTCTATCTATGTCTTTTCCACTTGCACAAGGTATTGAAATGTAATTTCAATACCTTGTGCAAGTCTATCTATCTCTTTTCCACTTGCACAAGGTATTGAAATGTAATTTGTATTTTTTTGTTGTAAAATTTTGATGAAAAACAATATTAAATGAAATTTTAGAATATATAGAAGTTATTATTCAATGATATAGCTTTTTAGTAAATATAAACACATATATTTTTGGCTTTTGGTTTGGTTGTGCATTAACTGTTCTTCTTATTATGTTCCTCTTTTCCTGCAAACAAAATTTTGTTTTTTCACTGTTTTATCCGTCAAATTTTTTTAAGAAATTATTTGTTGTAATGTGAATATCGGGCAAACAAATTTTCACTATTTGTACTGAATTGTGTTTGGCATTGTTTCTTCAAACAAAACGTCAAAACAGAAATACTCATTTTAAGCACATTATGAAATAAAAACGTATTTAATTTTTTGTTTTTTGTAATTTCAATTAAATAGTTTTTTTTTAACGTTAAACAAAAATGTTTCGTGTTTTGTGTCCACATTGTGTTCACATTGGGAAAATATTTGTAGGTTGACAAATAAAAATGTTTTACGAAAAACAGCTGATATTTTGTTTGCTCTTCAAAAATATGTTGTGTTCACATTACAGCCAACAAATATTTGATAAAAAACGTCAAATATTTGATAGGTGTGAACGTAGCTTTAGAATTATAATTTTGGAATCTTTTAGCATTATAAATTGTCAAAAAAAAATTGTGAAGTAATCTCTTAGTGAGGGGTAATTTTTTTATTTCGTAAATGCTATGTTATGTCAATGAAATTTTTATATTTCTGAATATTGAAAAATTTCAGAAATTAATATATAGACATAAAGCAGATTTTTTAGTTTAATCTGACGGAAGAATGCTTAAGTATAATGTTAAGAAACCACTTAAAACCCCGGGCAACGCCGGGTACAAAAGTCTAGTATTAAAATATTGTTCGAAATTTTGTCGGAAAATCGGTGTATTATTATCTGCAGGTGGAACCAGAAATATAAAGATTTCGTTGACTTAAATAACAACATAGCATTTACGAAAAATACTCATTTTACCCCTCACTAAGAGATTACTTCACAAATTTTTTGTGACAATTTATAAAGCTAATTTTTTTTTAAATTATTGTTCAATATATTTTGTATCATTTCAGAAATCGAAGTTGTAGAACATTAACAAATTTTTAAAAAAATTGTCCTGTTTTTTCGCCTTTTCTCCTATTTCGAAACGGAATACATATTTCAGACACTTTAAAAGCTTAATCAGAAATGTTTTTGCTTGAGTATAGACAATAATTAGTACTTACTCCCAAAAGTACGAATTTTGTCCCTTTTTCATACACATACCCCTTTTTGTCCCTTCTTATCCAAGTTTTGGAAAACCTATCACACCATACACCTATATATCTAACTATGTTTCAAATTTAAAGATAATCGTTCCAGTCGTTTAAGTGTGATTAAAAACATTATGCGCACGCTACAGGTCGCAATTTGCAAGATAATTTGATGAAATTTGGCACATACTCTTCCAAGGATGAAAATGCTTAATATCGGACCATTATTTCGCATAGCCCCCATACAATCGCATCCCTGAATATGTATGTCTTTTGAGCTCATAAATATGTTAAATGTTCTTGTGTCACACCAAAAATCGGCAAAACTTAGTTTTATATAAGTTTTAATGACACTGCTGATCACATCCCCCATATAAAGTACTCTTCATAAAAAGGACTTGATGGTTGAAATTCACTTATAAACACTAATATTACGGCGATATTCTACATAAATAACTTTAATTTAACAAAACTTTTGTTTGTTTGTTACAAAAGTTATAAGAATAGTCCCATATCAACCACCTACCCCATATAACCCTCTTTTAGAAAATCCTTTTTGGCCATGTCCAACTATAAATTTTTACTTGTTTATTTATTTGTTTTATTTATTCATTGAAGTAGTTTGAATTTTCTGAAAATATGCATTTATTGAGTCCCTTTACGCAGCAAATACAGATTTGCCTTTTTTACCCATTTTTTCCCCTAAGGCTGGGATTTCTCAATATATGTACATATGTCTAAGACTATCAAAATCATAGTTTATAATATTTTGGCTTTAGAATAGAAAAAAAAATCGTTCCTAAAGCACAAAAGTACTAATTTTGTCAGATTTTCGCTATTTGGCCTATTTCTTTTTGTCCCCTTCCGGTCCAATTGCTAATATATATTTCTAACAAATTAAGTAGTTTAATCAAAAATACCTTTGGTTAAGGTCCAATTGCTAATATATATTTCTAACAAATCAAAAATACCTTTGGTTAAGGATAGACAAAATCAGTGCCCCCTCCTAGTCCAAGTTCTGAAAAAACATATAGCCTATACACTCTCCAAGTATAGATTTAACTATGTTTCAAATTTGAAGAAAATCGGTCCAGCCGTTTAGGCGTGATTGACGAACAAACAAACAAATAAACAAACGGACAGACTTACAAAGAGATTTATAATATATATTAGGATTTAGCGATTCAAACCATTCCTAAAGATTTAAAAGGGACTTACATATCAAGGTAGGTTGAAGAGCAGATAGAATAATGCCAACATAATTTAAATTTATCACTAAAAGTTCGCCAAATGAAACTTTTAGGAGATTAAAGTTTGGGAATAAACCCTAGTATAGTAACAATATTTAATACGTACAATATTTAAAAATTACAAAATATTTAAACATCACAAAAAGTAAAAGTGTTCGAACTCAGAAAATGGTAATAGAATAAAAATATGTTAGCTACATTTCTGTACCAGTATTAATTCGCAATTATAATATTACATTACAAATAAAAATACGTTTGTTACATTTCTTTACCAGTATTAATTCGCAAAACATTAATGTCCTTACGACACTGAATTTAAAAAAATTGGCACTTGGCGAACTTTTTACGATTGCGTTATTCTATCAGTTCGTCCACAAATTGGGCTCGAAATTTTATCAAGAAGTAATTTTATAGATAGTTTAACATGTTTAATTAATTTATTTCATTGTTTCCTAATTTTATTTAAGAAATTTTAAAAGTGAGACCTTAGATTCAGCTGTCTGGTGTTATACTCCCAATTAAGTGTTGGAAAACCAAACATTAACATACAAAAACCAACTAAAAATCACAAAAGTAAATTCATAAAAACCTGTCCCTTGTACAATGCTATAAATCGTTTCTATTATTTGTTCCAGTACCTATGTTACTTAATTAACAATAATAAAAGATTAACAAAATTAAAAGAAATATAAAGTGTAAATACCGGATGAAATTAGACTGAAATACCTTTCATTTGAGATATAAATAATGAAATTCTAACGGATAGTTTTTTTCGGATAACAATTAATTTTTCACCCGAAATATAAGCGTTTCTATTATTTTTTCTATTATTTTTATTTAATTTTTTCGAGAAATTAAATCACATATATATATAAAATTTACCTTCATCTCGTTTATGTATATCTGGAAATGTTTCAGATATTGAAGTTAAACTGCTATTTCCACCATCCGTACATCTCTTTGATAAGCAACTTCCTTCCGAAATAGATGAAACTTTAACACCTCCACTAACCGCAATCAAAAAATCTGTAAAATAAAACAAAAAATGAATATTTGGATATATTTTTGAAATTATACTATGTATTAAAAAAATATTCCATTTTTTACATTAGACAATTTTAGGAAATATCACAACAAAATCGTTGAGGTAAAGCCTAGGTATATTGCTTCTTATAGCACCTATACCCGTGGTATCTTCTTGATCACTACCTATGTGGACAATTTAAAATCCACTGCTAAGACAAAAAAGTCCCTTGATCAAGAAGCATATTTAATACCACTTGTTCATTTACACCCTTGTGACACCGCAATTTTCTATGGTGACTATAAGAACTTTCCTTCATTTCGAGACATGTTCTCTGCGTTGTATGGTAATTGCCCCTGTTTGACCACAATACAGAAATTGTAATATTTGTTGCAGAAAACTGCAATATGGGCATTCTCATGATGTCATACTATGGCTATGCATTGGCATAGAAAAAGTTAGCTAACACGTATTAGAACAAAGACGCCCTCATAAATGAACAGCTCCGTACTCTTTTGAGTATTAAACCCCTTACCCAAGAAACAGGTCCGAATATTAAAAATATGCAACGAACTTTTAATGATAGTATTACGAATCTATCGTTGCTAAAAGTTCTCAAATTTCACTCCAGTTTCCTATAACTTTTGGTACAAAAGTACCTATTCTACCCCCGCATACTCAAACCCCGCCTAATCAAAATCCATATAATATAAACCCGATTCCAGCAAGCAACCAACATCAACACCCTCTAAATATTCCCTCTCAAATTCTGCAGAAACTCAATAAGTTTATACGTATGCTGCACATTTGAGCCCTAACCCCCATTCGACAGTCCTTTTGGGCTCTACTATTTGTACATTGGTTCGCAAGGTGCCTGTATTTCTAAGAGATTACAAAGGAAACTTGGAACATTTTCGGTGCCACCTATAAATGTTACTGGTATAATTGATTGCTGGAAATTGTTCGACTATGTGCGTTCTTACTATTGGTTCTCCAATAGACCCGAGTTTTAAATTAAAAATTTGTGCATATGTAGTCGAGAAGATTACCGATCGGTTGCCCTCGTGTTTCTTTACAGATATTGTAAACTCTAGTTTTCCGGGAACCTTTTCCCGATATTACCATGGCCGACGTCATATGTACCCGCATGTACATATATTCTATTAGGAGAATATCTTTAACTTCGGATGTTAGAAAACATCCGAATGACAACCTGATCGCTCGACAGGTTATCCCAGTTTACGAGAAATGAAACTCGACTATTGAAAAACCCTCATATAAAATCACAGTATGATACTGTGATTATCGAGTATTTGTAATTAGATAGATCAGTGCAGCAGCCGCCCGAGTTCAAATGCGACTAATTATTATTTACCATTATAGAAAATAAACTTTATCATTTTTATACTTTATGAAATTATTTCTTGTGCAACTAGTAGTCTATTTGAAACTCAAATTTTTAATTTTGTATTTAAATTTTTTTTATTACTCTGTGATTCATATTTTAAACTTTGAACAATAAACATTATTTATAACAATAGGTTATGGGCCAGACCCCAAACCTAAGTGAAAATAATTCGTGAATAATATTCAAGAATTAAGAAGAAATATGGCGATAGTATCAGGAAGAATACCGTTGCTGAATGGAAAGAATTTTTCCACGTGGTATCCGCAAATGGAGGCAATCTTACATAAGAATCGCTTATTGCAAATGATAAGAGGTGAAGAACACAAACCGGAAGTTATAGTTATCAATAGTAATGCTACAGCAGCTGAAAGGACGTTGTATGATAATTATTTGAAGCGGAGATAATATTTGCTCTGAAACCGGATATTGTGCGTATGGTAAAGAATGTACAGTCATCTCATGAAATTTGGATTTATCTGAAGAACACGTACGACCGCAAGTCTACAAGAAAGAAGGCCGAATTGTACACGAAATTGCTGAATTTCTAAATGCCAGAAAATAGGAATATATCGCAACATTTGGTGGAATATTGCAGTATCTGAACTTCGAGAAATGTTAGCCGATACCGATGAAGATTTTTTAACAGTGATGTCGTTAGATGGTTTATCAATGAAATATAAAGCAGTAAAAGCAACATTTGACACTGCCAACGAATTTCCAACTCTAATTATTTTACGCTCAAGACTCCTAGAAATTGGTGACAAGCCTGAAGAAGATGGTACAGAAGGTAATGCTCTCAAGGTACACAAATTTCAAAATAACAAGAAGAAGCATGGTAACTATAACAATATGGAGAAAGGTATGAAAGATTTTCTTATAATTGTCACAATTGTGGTAAAAAAGGCCACAGGCCAAAAATTGTAAAATCAAGAAAAATAAATCCAATGAAGTATATGTAACATCAGGTTTTGCTGTATCATCAATTATAGCTAATAGTTGTTTTAGTTCAGCGAAGATAGTTTCACTTGGGTAGAAGTCACAGTTTATTGATATGGATAAAACTTTTAGAGGATATGTCCGATTAGCGGATGATAAGAATTTTGAGATAATGGGTATTGGTACAGCCCAAATTAATGTTAGAGTAAATAATAGCATTAGCACAGTTAATCTCGTAGAAACTCTATATGTACCTGGTTTAAGAAGCAATCTATTTTCATAGGAAAAGCGGCAAATAAAGGTTGCAATATAGAAATTTGTCCAGACGAGATAACAGTCTATAAGAATGGTAAAATTTTGATAACTTCACAGAAGAAAGTTGGTATATATTGTATTGAATCCATTAGAAATAATGCTGTTCATGTAGTTTAGAGTTATGACACAAACGATATGGCCATTTGAATACAGTATATTTAGGAAAGCTTCAATCTAATGAAATGGTTCACGGTTTACCCAAATTAAAAATTAAGAGCATTCAGTGCGAAAGTTGTTTTCGAGGTAAACAAACCAGGCAAGTTTTTCCAAAGAAGAATGAAATAACATCTACTGAAACATTGGAATTAACACATACGGACAATGCGAGTAGAATACACCCCACAACAAAACGAAATAGCAGAGCGAATGAACAGAATGAAAATTAGTCGAAATGGCTAGAACAATGATGTTAGAGGCTAAATGTTAAAACTTCCAGAATTTTTATGGGCTTAGGTAGTAATGGCGGAATCTTATATTAGAAATATGTGTCCAACCAAGCTTATTGTTCAGACTTCTGAAGAATTATGATCAGGAAGAAAGCCTTGTGTTAAGCATTTACGCCACATAGGAAGCAGAGTTTTTGTTTTGGATAAAAAGCAAGGAAAATCTAAATGAGAGCCAAGAAGCTCAGAATATAGGTTAGTTGGATATTCAACAGATGCCAAAGCTTATCGATTATGGAAGCCTGGATTCCATGAAATTATTAAAAGTCGTGATGTTAGATTTATAGAATTTAGTTTTGATAGTAACGTTAGCCAGCAAGAAGATAAAAATCAAAGCTTTTATGAATTCAATTGGAATAGAAACAAATCAATACAGTTCTACTGCCGAAACGCATCAAAACGATTTAGAGTTAGCCAGTAATCAAAACCAATTTCCTGTAGATTTACCCGAAGGTAGAACCCCGTGTATGTAAATGGCTATTTAAAACTAAGTACACACCCGATGGTAAGGTTGATAAGCTAAAAGCGCGTTTAGTAGCGAAAGGATATTCTCAAGAATACGGTATTTACTACAATAGTACACTTGCACCAGTCATAAGACAAAACTCATTACGTTTAGTATATGCACTTGCTGTTGAAAAAGATCTTAAATTAAGACAGTTAGACGTGTCTACAGCTTTTCTCAATGGAAATTTAGATGAAGAAATTTTTATGATACAACCTGAAGATTTCATTGAAGAGAAACAAAAATAAAGTATGTTTATTGAAAAAAAACAGGGACCGAAAATAATTATTTTTATCTTTCGGAAGAAAAGGTTACGCAAAAAATCCCTTTATTTTATTTAGGGACTTTTTAACCATTATTAAAAGATTTATATTATTATTTTATTAACATGAGAAATATATTTTTTGGTTATGAATAACTGTTATTTAGCAACCAATATTTTTGGTAATAGATAACCAAAATTTATTTAATTTATTTTTGGTCCATTTACATATTAACGAAATTAAAAGGCAAATTAATTTAAATTATATTTTATTTATAAAATGAATAGACATTTGTTGCTAAACTGGCCGTTTTATTTATTTATTTATTTATTTCTTATAACCGTTACGTCCCTGAAAAAAATCTATTTACGGTTTGAAACAAGCTAGTCGACAGTGGTACAAGAGGATAGATGCAGTTTTAAGATAGTTTAGTTTAAACAAATCCAAGTATGATCAATGCATTTATTCAATGAACAAAGGATCTGATACAATTATTGTAGCGCTATACGTAGATGATGTTATTATTGCAAGTAATAACGAAAAATCCTCTGAAGATTTAATTAAAATGTTATAAAATAATTTTGACATTCGAGACATGAAAAATCCAAAACATTGCATAGGATTAGAAATCGATCAGAAGCCTACAGTTTTAACGTTATTAGAAACCCCAAATAAACTATTGTTCTTGTTTCCTTAACAAGAAGAAGAACTGGTTAAAGTGTAAAATGTATGTCAACTCACACTTGCCACAAAACAATTTCATTGAAAAATGACCATGAAATACAATCCGCTGCCGATATATTTACGGATATCTTACAAGATGCTGTCAAAGTGTTTACACCCCCAGTCACCTTGGGATACTACTAAAATTCGAAATGTCCTAGGAACACTGAGTCTCTAATTAAAGAAAAGAGAACACTCAGACGTCAATGGCAACAATCGCGATCTCCAACATAAAGGTTAAACTTAATCAGTGTCAAAGAAGACTTCACATCGCCTTAAAAAATAATAAGGAATCTAATCTGAGAAATTATCTCAAAAACTTAGACCAATGGTGGCCAAACATGCCCCTGCGGGCATTGTGTTATTCTCACTTATACACACGCAATACAAATATTCTCAGCAACAAAAC